ATGAAAGGTGGAGAGGATGGATAGTTAAGTTGCTTTGACAGGGAATCAAAGTATTCACACACTTGTGGGGTGTTGATCAGAACCATTAGACCTTCAGATTCTGTTAGCAGGCTGMCTAGGTGTCTCCTTCCACAGCACTGGAGGGTTCAGCATGGAATGAGAACTTTTGTTAGCACATCTTTGGTGAATACCACACAACACTCTTCTCCACAATCCAGACTAACTGGATTCCTGTAACTTTCCGAACATGCTGCCAAAACCAACAGTTCAAAGTATTTGACATGGTAAGGTTGGTGGCCCATGAGGTGAAAAAGTTAGGATCTTTCAAATGAAGGTTAATTCTGAAATCCAATAACGCTAGATTAAATTTAAGCACAAAATTCTGAAGTATGACTTCTTCCCAAACAAAACATTAAAAAATTAGGAAAATCTGTGCAAACTGCAAGACCACCAGCTCAGTGCGGTTTTGTAAAATACGTGGAAGTAACTTACTGAAATGAGTCTGGAAAACTAAAAAGATTTTCCCTCTTTCAGCTACGAATTTGAATACTGCAAGCACACTGCAGCATTAGGGAAGATATTCAGGTGCCTAAATGCAGATGCCTATTGCCGTTTTAGATGACTTCTGGCCCTCAAAACACCCACGTGGTCTTACAGGTCCTATGGGAAATCCACGGCTTTCTGAAATAACGCAAGAGACCTTAAGGCCTCTAAATTGTATTGGACATATATACGGGTTCCGTACCCAAAACACTCCTTAGGCCACTTCAAGGGAGACTAATGTGGGAGACTAATAACTTCCTATTCTTGAAAACATACCCCTAAATATTTCCACTATATCCCCAAGAGTGATTAACTGACATGAGGCACACTGACGTAAGGATATAGCAGCATAGCTATAGGATTAAATTCGTCCAAGCTAATTTCTATGATGGCAGAGGAGCCAGAGCCCGGGGCCAGGCAGCCCCAGCATGTGCCAGTGGCGATGGGGGATGCGACCGACCACGCCGTGGGGAAGAGCATCATGCACCCCACACTGCTGCAGAGCCACTGGCTGCAGGCAGCAGTCCCTCCTTTTAGACCCATTTCTCTGCATAGGCTCCTCCAAGCCTCCAGCACCTTGAAGGCAGGGAAAGCAGCTCCCTGCTCTTACCTCCCAGCTGGATTTTGCGAGTCGATGGCTGGGATGCAGCGCTCGATCCGCCGGCAGCTATTTGGGCGCTCCTGGTGCTAAGCCTCGAGCGTAGGCTCAGTACGGCACTAATGCAACTTTGCCGGTCAGGGAGAGAAGTGTTATTACTCAGATCAAAGTCAGGATTTGTTTCCTGTTCTGAGTCACAGTTAGAATTATTGCTCTATATCTTATCTGTCATATTAAAGTCCTGAGTGACTTTAACTCAAAATAAAACACTTAAACTAGTGCAATTAATGCATTTAACACATTTCAGCTTTTAAAATGATTATCCTTGACTGTGGCATCAGAGTGGAAAAAAAAAAAAAAAAAAAAAGAAGAAGGACTGAGACTCTAACTTTATTCCAAGCATTAAACCATGTATAAATTATAAGGATTCTGGACAAGGGGATTATAATGTGATCTCAAATTATTAAAAGGTTTTAACACACTGAGAGAGTTCTCAGCCTTTGGCACTGCAAATGTAGAATGTTTCAGTAATGCTTAAACAACTTTTCTGCAGATCCTCCTTTTTTTTTTTTTCTTTTCTTTGATCATATTTCTGTCTTCATAGCAGTAAATGGAAAAGTTACAACAGAGCACCAAAATGCCTCAGCTGGCCAGGCATTAAAACAAAGCACCCCCACTTCAGATCATGTCATCTAATCATCTCCCACTTGCCCCTCAGCTAATGAAACTTTCAGCCATTGAAAGCTAAGATGTGATGGGCTTAGGAAAAGGAAAAAGCCCTAGGATGTGTTTCCRACAGCATTTGCCACTTATAAAGGTCAAGAATTTCCCCAAATGAGTATATCAAAATCAGCTCAAACTCTAAATGGCCTAAATAGGTGGTGATTTAAAACAAAATCACACTTCCAGTGTCTGTGTAGACAAGCAAACAACAGAAAGCAGAAGACTTGACCCTCCTAACTTTCCTTGGGAAAGGGGGACTTTCCCCAGATCCAGAGGAATCTGCCTGTCCTTTGGCAATGGCCTGTCCTCTGGATTTGGAGAAAGTTCCACTTTCTCAGAGGAAGTTAAGAGCATCAAGATTTCTGCAAATTACATGGGAACCTGGGTATAAGAAARGGCCAGGGATCAAAGTCACAGTCAGACAAACAGAACATCCTAGGGAGGCCAGAGTAGCTACACCCTAGAAATCAGTGCCTTCTTCCCCAGCTAAAGAATAGAGGCTAACAACTTCTGGATGAAATCAGCAGTAATCGGGCCACCTGAGCAAGCCTCACACATCTGAGGGCAGGGAAAGCAAATCAGACGGTAACTCCCACTCCAGGAAGCCCATCAACAAACAAGGGCAAGATGACTTTGCAAGGCACGAATGTTGCCTCCTCTTTTGTTCAGGTTATCAAAAGAGCACAGGGCCGAATTCTGAAAAAAAAAAAAAAAAAAAAAAAGGGAAATTCACAGCTAAGGGAAGATATCCTAGGAGCTAACACTGACATGAGGGTCAGAAGATCTCCATGACCAGAAACTCCCACTGCAACTCCTGTAGAAGTTATTGCAGAAGGAGCTCAGCACAGAGTGCATAAAACTCTCTTTTTGAACTGAGAGCTCTTTTAGACACCAGAACTGAAGACCTAGACAGCCATCTTTGCTGTCTTTACTTCACCAAAAATCTCGCACAATTACCATAACGAGCACCTGTGGTAGTTGTCTACCTCTTTTCTGCAAGATATTGAAGCACAGGAGGATACCTAAAGAGGCTGCTATTGCTTCTGTCCTTCATAATAGAAGAGCTGGGCCATCACAAAACAGTGTGACTTCTATACTGTGATCTTTCTATAGCTATCATTCATTAAAGCGGCACCTTGCCTTCCTCGGATTCATGGATACATCTTTCAAAATGAGACCAATGACTGCATGGACAATAACTGCACACACAGGTGCTTCATTGTATAATATCCCAAACAAGAAGCACACCTTTGTGCCATATGCCTGCTGTATGGCTCCAAAGCTTAAAGCAAATATGAATAAATTTAACTCTGATTCAATTCCTTGGGAAGCAGATTTCTCTGTTTTGTAGAGAGGTAAAGCTAGGCACAAAGGGCAAGATTTTCAAAGATGCTCAAGTGCCTGAAGACGGAGAAATGCCTTGTGGGATTTGCAAAAGTGCTTATGCAGAGTAGATACCTGCCTCCCACAGAGATCAGTGTTTTGTATCTGTTCCACAGATGCAAATCCGACAGCTGGCTCTATTAGAACAATATTTGCTGAGGGTAAACTAACTGCATACAACAGAGAACGAAAACAGGACCCATGGAAGCAGGACCACTTTCCTTTTGAGATAGGACGGAAGCAACAGCCACATGATGTGCAAGACTCGTGTTTCTGTCCACAAGACAGGCTTTTGTTTCTGCTCTCCTTGCCATACCCTGACTCTTCTGAGTTAGGTCTTTGGTTAGAGTCCCTCCTGGGAACCTGCTGCTGCTTCTCCTCTAGCAGCTGTCCTTAGCAGCCTCATGTGACTTTACTTGGGACAATCAGTCAGCATTGTCACAAATTAGCCTTCTGCTTGATGTATTTATTGTATGTTTTAATGTCTAAAGATCTGAATAATTCAGAATACATCCATTTCAAGGTAGCCAAATCCTGACACCTTGAAAACAGAGCAGCCTAGGCTTTAGGCTCCTGGCCTCTGGAGGCCTGAGTCCAAGCCTATGATCTTCTGGTGATTCCCTATATGAATTTAGCAACTAAGATAGAAAGTCTAGGAAGGCTTAAGGAGTTTTTCTCATTCACAGGGAGACTTTCTTACTCCAGATACCTACGTACCAGGAAACTTTCAGCTGTTTAAACTGTGTCTGTGGACTTGCCATGAACTGCTTCTACCTGCTTTTATCAAGTGATCTGACACCCATGTGATGGCCAAGTCTTCCCATGAGGTGTGCAAGCCCACACATGTGCTCGGGACACAGCTAGCACACGCTGGCAGAATCGGAGCCCACAGCAGACAGCACAGGGCAGCCACCCTCCTTCAAAACTGTGCCCCGAGTGACAGCTCCTGTCCCATCACACCGTATTGTCCCTCCAAGACAGGGAAGACATATGTCTCCTTCTCTCTGTGGTTARAAACAAACTTGTCCTATCTCCAGCAAAGAGCATAAAGGAGAGGGAGACCTCGGTTCTTGTCTCTGCTCTAAGATCCCTGCTTGAGTACGTCATCCAATGGCTACTTCATGCCTTCTCCAGCATTGCAGTAGTTAACTGTCTTTTATGAGTAACTTGGGGTAAACACATACCTTTATAGACGGCCCTGGCCAAGTGAGGATTTTCTTTTGGGAACAGTGAGTCTAGACAGCTTAGATGGCTCTCCCCTCCACTTTTTTTTTTTTTTTTTTTTTTTTTTTTTTTGGTGCTAGTGACAGGGAGCTTGTTGGCTTGAGGCTTGGTGTTACTGACACAGCTAAGCCTGCTCCAAACCTCCCAGGCAGGAGCACTGGGGCGGTAATCTTGGAGATGCTTGCTACTGAAAAGCACACTTTGTGAATGAGGAGGGAAAAAAAACAATTGAAAAACAGCCTACAGCAAAACTCATTACCTGTGGAGTCAGTCCTAATGTGCCGGGGCTATACATGCTGTTCAGTATTTTATCTCCAGTCACACCAGATCTGTGGGCCCTCAAGAAAATGCCTCTGCTTGCCATTAAACTTCTCATACTTCTCATACTTGCATGCTATATATTTAGGTAGAAGGAAATGGCACTATATTTAGGGAAAAAAAATCTGTTCTTTCTTAAACCTTTGGAAAAAATCTCAGCAAAAACCAAGGACATTGAGAATGGACGTGGTTCAGTGCATGCACACGGGTCGGCTCGGCGTTGGGTTCAAAGGCAGCCACGATGCTGGTGCTCAGCACAGCATGCCTGGGAACAGGCCCTTGCTGGCAAGTCCCATTCCTTTGTTCAGTCGCTTCCAGCTCAAAGGAAATCTGGGGGACTGAGAATGCAACACTGAAAAACAAGCAATGAACTTTAATTACACACTCATCACTGTACTTCATAAATGTCAAAAAGACACTGTCAAATTAAAAACACATTTAAAATACAATTTTGCTATTGATATTCTTTGTTTTAAAAGCCCCCYCAAAAATTTAAGACATATTTACTTTTCTCTGTCAATAGTATTTATTCATTGTTAAGGGTTTATATACTTAATTCATTGTGAATAGCAAAACAAGCTGGTTTTTCCTTGCTCTTTTTTACAGTTTTCTGTTTATTAGGAGTAAAGAGTAAAATACTTTTTCATTTATAAAGCTTTTTAACTTTTAAGCTTTAAAACTTCTTTAAGGGAAAACTTGTCTATTTATACTGGGCTTTGTCTATCTGTCTGTACCTCTGTCCAAAGGGAGACCGAAAGATTCAGAAATTGTATTTTCAACTTGCATGACGTGATTGCCACAGGACAATTTCCATGTTCCAGAAGGCTCTGATYGTCAGAAGAGAAGGGATCATACAGCAAAATATGAAAGAAAAATAAATGTCCATGTTAATTTCGGTTCTTCAAATAGGTGGTTGATAAACAACCAAAACAGACTAGATAACAAAATCTTTCTACAATTATTAAAACCTTTACTAAAGAAACTCAATTTTCTCAACTTAAATTCAAGATCTACCTGATCTTACCCGTGACATAGCACATGTGCAGACTACACCTAAGAAAAGCAGGAAGCAATCCTTTCCCATTTGTGTTGCTTGCAGATGATTATAGTAAAATATGCTCCCAGTCTAMTTCCAGTCAAAATGACAGAATGTTTTTTTGATTTGATGACACTAGGAGACACTAAGTGATATTAACTGGGGGATTTTGTTTTCCTAGGATGGAACCAAGGCAATTTTGGCATAGTTTGATATGGGGAAGTTTTAAAAGAAGGCTCCTGATTTAATCACTCTTGGAACTGATTTTCTCCTACCCTTTCCATGATCCCTCTCTGCTACCAACTCAGTGAAATGATTGTTCAGCAGAGCAAGCTATTTGTGGCTCCCAAAGTATAAGCAATATATACATCTGGATGTTTCCTAACTGTGTTTATTAAAGATTCCATATACTTGCCCCAGGCACAAGATTGGATAATTCTGCTGACAAACTGTGCATGCTGCTCTAAGGGCAGCACTCCCTGCTATCCACTGTTGATGGCTGCAAATCTGTCCTGGCATCATCAGAGTCTTCAGGTGGACTTCATCAGCTGTAGTCATCTTATCAGCTAGGCACAGCCTCTTCTAATGGCTTGATAAATATTCTGGCATCCCAGCATCACTGTCAAAAGATTTAAATCATGTCCACTACTTATGGCTGCAATTACTACAGTGTTATAGCCAATGACTCTTTCACTTATCTCTGTATCCGGAGATATTGAATAGCTCTTTTTATGTCTCCACTCCTGCTAACTGAAAGCAGAATTTGTACAGAAATGTCCTCCACCTGGATGGGAACAAAAATTGCCCATGTGAAATTTGAAGAACAGATTTAGTCCATGTGAGAAATGAATTCCCACAGTCCCACTCCTACTTTGCTAATGTAAACCTGTACTGCACCTGGGCTCTGACACAAGAACACCTTAAGTCCAAGTCTCATATGGCCACCCTGCACTTGGAAAAACCCTCAAAGCTGAAGTGGGTGATTTGTTTTATTATTTTTTCAGTCTCTACATCTCAAGCTAGTAAAACGTATATCATATATATTTTGGTTTCAGCTGGAGGAATATGATGCTAGCCTACTGATTTTCACTCTTTCTCATGGTAAACCTCCATCTTCAATTCCCTTTCCATTCCTCTGAGCTCTAGCTAAGAGGTCCTTCTCCACTCAGTTGCAATGCAGGGACAAAATATGGTCATAGTGCTTCTTTGAGATTAAATGTTCCAATACTAAACCAGGAAGAAGTATAAGGCACCAAATAAGGTTGGTTTTATTGCCAACTGGTGACATTCAAGTGTAGTTCTTTGGGGTGAAATCCTGTCACTCCTGAGAAAAGAGTAAAATTCACCAGTACAGCCATTTCCTCTTTCATGTAACCCATAGCAATGGGTACATGTAGCACTTTCTACATCTGTCCCAGTTTTTCTGAGATATCCAGAGCAGTTAAGGTGAAGATCTCTGTCTGGTTGCATTTTTCTTTTTTTTTTTTTTTTTTTGCTTTTTCCAGAATGCCTCACACCCAACATGGGAGGACTGAAAGGAGCACAGTGGGGTGACACATACAAAGGCAATTTTGGAAACAGAGTGGATGCGAGATTAATGGAACAGAACTGTGATGTGGGAAAGGAAAAGGAAGGGTGAGATGACCAAGACAGCAAATTGAAGGAAAATCTGAGTCAGAGAAGAGGAAAAGAGATTGGTTAAATGGGAAGCAGTCAAGAAAAGAAGGACTATGTTAGAATGAAGCAAAAGAAAAATGCAAAACATAGATGAGAAAATAAGGCTTAAATTACAGCCTCCTTCAATTTTATGTTGGACTAGCACAATAAACCATGCACCTCAGCACATGACATCATGTGGCCACATGCCATGCAAAGATGACTGGCAGGTTCATCAACTGACATCATGAGAAACAGATACGTAAAAGAGAATCATATTTAAACTGACAAGATAATTACTTTCACTGTCCCTTATCCAGGCCCCTCAGGCAGGAATCTAACTCCCAGACCTAAAGATAGGCAGAACTATCACCACATACACAAGTATTTTTCTCCCTTGTTACATTTTGAGGCATTTCTTCCATTCCTTCTGACTGGAAGCCATGAGAACGGAATGTATTCTATGATCAGCATGTAGTCAGGATGAGTATTTCCAACACTAGAGAATCATTTAATAACATCTGCAATCAAGATGTCTATGAATGATTTTTTTTTAATCATCTGCACCCTCTGCAATCTTTGTGGTTGATACAAAAGCTGTTTAGATTACGTAGGAGTTTCACTTGAAGAATGGAAACAGGCACTGGTATAACCCTTCCTTTCCTTCCAAGATCTCCTGTTGTGATGGGATCCAGTTGTGCAATACACTCAGAAATTGCAAATGCCCTGTGGGAAGCCACTCTGAGCTGTGAGTACCTAGTGCTTTTCATAAGGAGACCCAGTGTGAGCACTAGTAACCATCATTAGATGATTTAAGGTGATAACAATTGATGTGCCAAGTTGCATTTGAATTCTGGTAGCATCTGTCACTTCCACCAGAGCTAAGAACTGCCTTTGATTATAGCTAAATTATCTAGCAAAGGAAATTATGCATTTATTATAAATCCAATAAAAGGGAAAACAAAACTATAGTTTGGATGCATAAAGAAATTCTGTGCATTTTTTTTTTCAAAATTCTATTTGTGATGTGGAATTTTTATTTCCCATCAGCGAAGTTAAGGAACTGCCATTTTAAATTTGCTTGTGTTCAAGTATCTAGCTTACTGTTGATTTTGCATCGTTTACTCAGCTCCAGAGAAGTGACAACTTCTAACTGGGGGATGTCACAAAAATGTCTGATGTTTCTTCTTTGTCCAAGTTTCACGTCAAAGTGGCTGAGCTCAGATACGATAGACACTGAGGCTGCAGCCTCACTTCTTCCACACCAATCTGATACCAAGCTCCCTTACTCGCATGGTGCAGGTGCTAGGTAAGGAAGACCATGCTTTTTTCAACCTCTTTTCTCTAACAAAGAACCAGCTGGGACTTGGTTCCTCTCTCCCACCAATCTGCTTCCTATTTCTTGTGCACATGGGGATATCTCATTCCCTCGCACCCTGCCAGCTCCTCCCACACACCCTGGTCGTCCCAGCTTTGTCTCTGCTGCTCAGAGATATCAGCCACAGCTTCTCCTCCCTTGGGACCGGTGCCCAGCAGCTCGACTTCACTTGCAGACAGACAAGGAAGTCTTGTCTACACAGACAACACAACCCCCCCCAGTAAGCCAGTCGGGCCCTGGAAGACACAAAACGTGGTTCTTTTTCCTCACTCCACTTCAGATCTTTCCAGAAATTCCTTCTGAATAATGAAGTAGAGAAAAACAGACTTGATATGAGGCTGCTTGTCCTACCAGACCCCGCAGAGCTGCAGAACAGTAGACTGTTCTTTGATGCTCCTTCCCATCATCCACATCTAAGTTTAGCCTTTATAATCACACAGATCAGTCTTTCAGAGTGGGGGGAGAGGGGYTCAGAGGCAAATTACAAACCACAGCGGGATATTTTCTCCACATAAATGTTCTCAACCTCAGAGTGATGAGCCAAGCCCTCAGAGAGATGCATCACCAGTCAACATGTCATGGCAAAATCTGACAGTACAGRGTGTTCAGCTGTTTATTCAGAGAATACATTTGAATAATGAGTACATTCAAGAAACCATGCTGCTGCTGTGCTCATGGAAAAAAAAGAGCAAAAGGCGAACTTTGCCAAATAAATTATGTGTTGCAAATTATTCTTTCTCCTCAGAGCTCTGTGTGTCCCAGGAGTACAGAGTTAGCAAAGAAACTCTTTACCCAGGCAAGTGGTATCTTGGTAAACACGATTTCCAGCTCAGAATTCCTATGTGAGGACAAGCAGAAGTAAGTTGTTTCCAAAGTGCCTATGTTCAGGTGGGAGAGGTTCTTTCAGAAAAGAGTGGGTGGAAGACACCTTTTCTTCACAGGACAGTGAAAAACAGTCAACTGTGGAGAAGTTATTTACAGAAGATGTAGCAAGAACTACATGCACATTTGCTAGGATGGATGCATTTATCTCCACCTCAACTGGTAATAGGGACAATCCTCCAGCACTCAAGTGTAACTGCTAAAACTCCCAGGCCTTTGCTTGAAGGCTTGAGAGTTTCAAGCAACTTTTATTTTCCACTATCTTTTCTTTATGAGAAAGTCCACAAAGAGATTTGTAGTGTGCGTCCACGCCCTTGCCTTAACAAAAAAATAAACTGCATTTCTTTTTTTGGGGGGGAGGGACAGGGTGGGACGGGGACAACTCGCAGTTCCTTCGTGGCCAGTAAGGAAAATTTCTCCACTGAGGCCCAAGAGATATCTGTGATCCTTCTGAATGGAACGTTTTACTGTTTCCCAAGGGAACGGATTCTTCCAGGCTTTTTTTCATTATACCTCATGGTCCTTCAGTACTTTTTAGTCTCTTTCCTTACCTTTCATCAGTACCTTCCCTCTTCTCATCTGCTTCTAGAGGACAGTCTTCTAACTAGCTTTTGTATAGTCAGTCAGGAGTGCCCATGTCTTCCCCTGGTGCTTCCCTGTCCCCTTTCCTTCCCTACCACTTGCTTCCCCAGTCCAGAAGTGCAGGCCTAGCCGTGCTGCTCCCGCACSGCACCGCTCCTCCTCGCCCGGGGCCGTGCCTGAGGCTGCTCCCACACAGCAGAGCCAGGGTATCCCCCCAGCAGCTGGGATACC